CAATCTGAACCCAGGTTTATCTAAGCCAAAAATCTCCAGTAAGGTGTGAGAGCTACCTCCCAAGAGGACCATCATCATGATGATATCTGAAGACCCAAGACTTACAGTTTTGATGTTAAAGCCTTTCCTCGTGTATCAATGGCTTCTGCTGCATGTGTGAGTTTAAAGCAAAAACCTCACTGGAGTTTGGGTCCTGACTGTGTGGTCCCCTACTGCCTTGGCGATGTGCTACCTCTCCTCTCCTGAGCTCAGGGACACTGACCTGTGGACTCCTTTCACACAAACAGTATGTTCCTGACTCAGAGTCTTTACACACTCTGTTCCCTGTGCTGGCCACACACTTCCTTTCCTAGTGCACTGTTCAGGTTTCAGCTCACAGATCAGCTTCTTAAAAAGGTTTTCCCTAAACTGAACCTAATTTAGCTCTTTCTTTTCGGCTCTAAGGACACCTTGACCTTTTCATTTATTGCCTCTGCCTCACTGTGGCGCTGATCAGTGCCTCTCCTCCCTGGACCAGGAGCTGCCGGATGGCAGTGCCTTATTTGACCTGTGTATCCAGTGTCCAGCACAGTGTGAGGCATGTGACCTGAATGGACATGAAGAAGAGCCGCTGAAGAACAGGAAAGAGGCCGGTTTCCGATTGTTTCGTCAGCTCTAGCTAGTACCCTAGGGCACACCATAGGAGAGTTATGTTATCTGCATCAGAGCTTTTCACCCTTTACAAAACTGTTTATACCTAAAATGGAAAGAAAGATGCAGCAGCATGGATGGACCTAGAGACTGTCATGCTGAGAAAGTGTCAGAGAAAGAGAAACACTGTATGACATCCCTCATATGCAGAATCTGAAAAGAAATGATATAAAGGAACTCATTTATAATACAAAACAGAAAAAGACTCACTGACTCAGAGAACGAACTTATGGTTGCCAAGGGGAATGATGGAGGGAAGGGACAGTTAGGGAGTTTGGAATCAAGATGTACATACTGGTCTATCTAAAATGGACAGCCATCAGGGAGCTCCTATGTAACACATGGAACTCTGCTCAATGTTATGTGGCAGCCTGTATAGGATGGGAGTTTGGGGGAGAATGGATGCACGTATATGTATGGCTAAGTCCCTTCGCTGTCACCTGAAACTATCACAACACTGTTACTCAGCTATATTCCAGTATAAAAAATTATTCCAATATATACACACCAATAAAATTCCATGGACTGTACAGTCCATGGGGTTGCAGAGAGTTGAACATGACTAAGCGACTTTCACTTTTTCACTTCCAATATAAAAAAGTTTCAAAAAACCCAGTAAGAGGTTTTTAAAAAGTAAAAAAAAAAAAATAATAATACAAAGCAAGAAGAGGAAAAGTTTCATCTAAGTCACATCTATTCCTTCATACTAAACAGTAACTGTTATAACTTTAAATAATTTTAATGGATCAATGAGATATAACAAAAAAATAACAACTTTTAATAAAAAAAAGTTTGGACTGCAAGGAGATCAAACCAGTCAATCCTAAAGGAAATCAGTCCTGAATACTCACTGGAAGGACTGATGCTGAAGCTCCAATACTTTGGCCACCTGATTCGAAGAACTGACTCATAGGAAAAGACCCTAATGCTGGGAAAGACTGAAGGCAGGAGGAGAAAGGGAGGACAGAGGATGAGATGGTTGGACCATCTCAAATAGGTGGCATCACCTATTTGATGGACTTGAGTTTGAGTAAGCTCTTTAAGAGTTGGTGATGGACAGGAAAGCCCGGTGTGCTGCAGTGCATGGGGTCACAAAAAGTCAGACATGACTGAGTGACTGAACTGAATTGAATAAATACAGCAGAAGGCATATATACAAATTAGCAATGCATTTCAGATACATCACTCCGGGGGCTGCACAAAGACTACTGTGGCTGTTACTGCTTTAGACATTTCTAAGACTCCTCTTTGGAAACTGCTTTTAAAATGAATTTACTGAAACCAAAGAGGAAAACGTGCCTCCTCACTTTATGGCAACAGGTCACTATTTCTCAGCTGGCACTGCCTGCTCCTCTGTAACACACGACAGACTCTGCTTAGCCTCCACTTCTGAGCTCAAGCGACAGGCATGGGTCAGACCAGCAGCAGACCAGACAGATTCAGTCAGCCCATGTGTCACAGAGGAGACCCTTTAAGTGAGCGCATCAGACGTACACACATCCCCAGACTGGTCTTGAAAGGAACACACAGGTGGGATGTGCCAACAGCCACGCAGTGACCAGCCAGGATATGAGAACTGCCTACAGAGGGCGCTGCTCACTACAAGACGTCAAGTGAGACCAAAAGGGGCCTGATTTCAGTCCTCTGTGTGTCCTCCTTGGTTGAAGGGGAGTCCTTTCATACCTCAGGGTCACCATCAAGTTGGAAGGTCACCAACTTCTTCCTCCTAAAATGATGCTACAGTTTAGCTTTCCACTTCTCTGTTGGGCAGTCCGGATATCCTTTCCTAAGAAAACCATTTAACTCAGTATATAGTTCAGAATTAAAAATAACTAGGGCCTGGGGATAGGCAGGGATGAACAAGCAGAGCACAGAGGATTCTCAGGGCAGTGAAACAACTCTGCATGGTATTAAAACGATGGAGACACATCATTATAAAGTTGTCAAACCCACAGACTATGCAAGGGCTGCTATAGATTGAGTATGTGGCCCCATTCCCACTTAGTATGTTGAAATCCAATCCTCAATGTGATGGCATTAGGAGATGGGCCTTTGGGAGGTGGTCAGGTCACAAGGGTGGAGCCCTAACAAGTGGAATTAGTGCCCATATAAAGGAGAATCTGGGGCTTCCCAGGTGGCACTAATGGTAAAGAACCCATCTGCCAATGCAGGAGACGTAAGAGATGTGGGGTTCAATCCCTGGGCTGGGAAGATCCCCTGGAGGAGGGCATGGGAACCCATTACAGCATTCTTACCTGAAGAATCTCATGGACAGAGGAGCCTGGCAGGTTACAGTCCATAGATTTGCAAAGAGTCAGGCACAGCTGAAGTGACTTAGCACTCACGCAGAGAACATAGAGAGCCTCTGCCCCTTTTACAAATGTGAGGGCACAGGCCTGGGCCTTGATCTAGCACTTCCCAGCTTCCCAAACTGTGAGAAATAAATTTCTATGGTTCGTAGGTCACCCACTCTACCGTACTGTTACAGTTACCAGAATGGACTAAAACACATCAAAAGTGAACCCTGATGTAAACTAGGGCCTCCGGGTGATAAAGATGGATCACTGTAGGTTCATCAATTGTAACATGCTCCATTCTGGTGGGGGATGTTGATAATGCGAGAAGCCATGCATGTCTGGGCAGGAATATATGGGAAAGCTTGGCACCTTTCCCTCAATTTTGCTGTGAACCTAAACTGCTATTAAAAAAAAAAAAAAGAGTCTATTAAATGACACCAAGGGCTTCCCTGGTGGTTCAATCTGTCTGCCAGTGTGGGAGATGCGGGTTCGATCTCTTGGTCGGGAAGATTCCCTGAAGAGGGAAATGACAACCCACTCCAGTATTCTTGCCTGAAAAATCCCATGGACAGAGTAGAAGCCTGGCAGGCTACAGTCCATGGGGCTGCAAAGGAGATAGACATGACTTAAGTAGCTGAACAACAACGACCACCGCTAACCACAACGTCTTTCTGTGTCAGGTAGCTTCTTTAAAAAAGGCATTAACTAACAAAAGATTAGTTAACTGACTGACCAGGACAGTTTTCTGGAGGGGGCTCCGTAATCCATGACTCCTAAACTTTCCTGGGATGAAGGTAAGTTCACTGCAACCCTTGCGGCCACAGCAATGCCTGGGTGAAAACAGGCCACTGGAAGGACAGGGTCAAAGGAAGGAGCAGCAACCTCAATCAGGCCAGGATTCGAACAATGTATCTATTAGAAGCGGCTCAGGCTACGTAGTTTGCAGAGCCCAGGGCAAAATGAAAATGTGGGGCCTCTTGTCCCTAAATTATCAAGAATTCTGAAACAGGGATGGCACAGCATTCTGCCAAGCATGGGGCGCCTGGGACAGGAAGGGCGAACAGTGTGCAAACCACGGGCGCCAGTCCCAAGGGGACCACAGAGTCTTCCTCAGGCTGCTCGGATGTCCACTCAGTTCACATCGCGCCTGCTGTGACATCCATATGCTGTTTTAAAACCGTATATGGGAGGCTTTGTTGCAAAACCTGTCTCCTCCTTTTATTTTCAAAGTAAAACATGCCCATAGTTTTAATAGTCAGATGGCACCAAGTGTCTTATAATAAAGAAATAGCAGCTCCCACCTCGCACCTTCCAACCTGATTCCTGGTCCCCACAGCTGTTCATTTTAAACTCTTCGAGCATTTCTCCTGATATCCATCTTCGTGTTTCTAAACACGTATCACTTGTATATACCACCTATTGATTTCCTGTCATTTAGGAGGCTAAATTTACACCACATACACTCATTCTATGCTCTCCTGCCCTAAGCCACCCGACTAGTTCCATGACAATTTAATGTGGGCATTAGAATCAAAATTCAGTGCTTATATTATACAGGTCACAGTGGAACCAAATGGATTACATATTCTTTCCTGTGTGATATTTAATCCCCCTCCCACCCCATGGCTGGGTAAATGACTGCCATACAGATGCTTTGTGTTTTAAGTAACTAATTCTTGTTAATTCAAAGCATAAAAGCTCTCCCAAACTCGGTCATACATATCAGGTATTGGCTCTCTCTTTAAAAAAAAAAAAAATGATACTGATAATCACCTACATTCATTCCCTTTCTAGAACACCTATTACTCAAACATTGAGGCTTACATTGCCTACTCTCTTTTCCTTCCTAGTCTATACTCTTCTCCTTTACAAAATTTTACTCCCTAGAAAAGTTCTTCAACTTTATACAATCATTCCATTGAATTTCTTTATTTCTGCAATAAGAGCTTATTTTCTTCTTTTAAAACCTTGTGTTTGTTTAATAAACATCTTCTCTCCTTTTATCTCTTTTAGACAATCAAGGAACTTTTTTTCTGATTCCTGGATGGAATCTGTGCCAAGATTCTTTCTTTTGGTGTGCGGTTTGAACAGTCCTGTTGCAGACACTCCCCCACAAATCTGATGCTCTGTGGTTACTGACCATCTTCATTTGAGACAGACATTAAAATTCAGATATGGGAAATTCTGTGCAGGTGAATGGGTTTGCTGACTGGTTAATTTCACTTCAGGTTGATTACCTGGGGAGCATCCTATAAGGGAACCCCCAAATGTTAGTATCTAGGGACTCTTTTCTGGGGGGTCACGTTTTCAAAAAGTCATCCTTCTACATGCAAGAGTTACACTGACCAGCAAACATCGCAAAGCCAAGTTGAGGGCGGGTTCTGGGGATTAAACGGGGTGTTTTGACTTTCATAAAACTCTTGTTTTTAATACTGGCATCTCCACGTCACTACGGTTTCTTTCTACTGAAAATGTGAAGATTCTGGGTGATATTTCCATGATTTATTCTGGAGACCTGTTAGTTCTCTCTCACGTTCTGCCATCTCTTCTCTTCTGTTTACCCTTAAGGGTCTAGACTGTCCACTACAAACTGGCGCTTCCCAAGAGCACTGCCAACACCTGGCCTCTACGGAGACTGAGCCCCACGCTGCTGTGGCTGTTGACCTGCAACAACCCCTGAGGAGATTCAGGGTGGAGGGAGGCGCTCTGTGCTCCAGGGAATCTGGTGGAACAGGTCTTTAGACAGTTGGATGTTTTTAGGAAGAGAGTTTATGATCGCAGTCCTTTCATCTCCTCACATCTAGAGAAGCACCCTTCATGGTGACATCAGATCCTCATGACTAACAAAAAACCTTTTATAAAATGAGTGCGGCATGGTATTGAACGCCTCCTTCACCAAAACCAATATATAAATTGACTTCCCCCCACTGACACTTTTGGAGCAGTCTCTCAGAGCTATCTGAGATGCTGCCCTCCCAGGCTGCAGTCCTCACTTTGTCTCAAATAAAACTTAACTCACAACTCTCAAGTTGTATATCTTTTTCAATCAACAATACCCTACTTGCTTCTGCACTTCATTTTTTCTTGATTTTGGGAAAGAGCAAATATTAAACATTTGTGCCGAATCAGCACATTTAATCAGGGTTCTCCCTTTGAAGCTCAGTTGGTAAAGAATCTGCCTACAATGCAGGAGACCTGGGTTTGAGCCCTGGGTCAGGAAGATACCCTGAGAAGGAAACGGCAACCCACTCCAGGATTCTTGCCTGGAGAATCTCATGGACAGAGGAGCCTGGCAGGCTACAGTCCATGGGGTCGCAAAGAGTTGGACAAGACTTAGCGACTAAAACACCACCACCACCACCTCTTTGTTTCAGACCTCAGACAGAAATATTCTCATTATGGTAGCATTTCCAGTTAGGTGGAAACACAGTTCTACTTAATACTCTTTTTAAAATACTGAAATTCTCAGAGACGACAGACTTCTGATTTTTATCTAATCCTTAGATCCTGCCATGCAACCTTAAGAAAACAAGGCACACTTCTGTCTGGTCCTAGATGGATGAGTTTCCTTTCCTCCTAGTCATCACTACCACCGCCTTTATCACCCCACACACTAGCACATTCATATGCAGATAATCTACTGCAGGGATCACCTAGAGATAATCCTGAAATCTGAGACCAGCTCCACCCCATAACCACACACACCTGTCTCACTTCCTCATACACTTCTTGTTGGCAAGAGCCTAAGAACTCTGGCTATTTTTAATGTTAGGGCCAGTTAAGCATGATGAGGAAGGCAAATCTTTGATCAACTGCAAATATCAATCAAAAATATAATGACATTCCCAAATTAAAACAAAATATTTTTGGATATTTGTATCCCTTCAATGAAATTCAGAAGGAAGAATCCACTCGAATATTACTTATTGACTTCAACAGTATCATTAACTATAAATTCATCTGGGTGCACAAGTTATCCCTCTAAGTTTTTATTTTAGATAGAAAATTATTTTCAAAGTATTTGGAAATCTGGCATTCCATTCTCCCACTTCCAATGAATAGGAAATAGAATTAAGATATTCTATGAAAAACTTTACATCAGTGTTTTAGAATTTCCCAGTATCTTATTTAAGTCAATTATTTTACAAACCAATTATGTCAACCAATTATGTTTCCTAGTAAGAATTTATAAAATGTATCATGATTACCTCACATAAAATCAGCATCAGTAAGTTCAATCAATAGGTAGAAACTGGAATGGAAACCAGTCATTCAAACATCTTTTGAAGATCTAGGTGCCAGGTTAATAATTTAATAATTGAGTACAGTGTATGTCTTTACATTAGTGTGTGTCGCCAATTTAAGTGGAATCATCTACATGTGTTGCTTAAAAACGACTACTGTCAAGCAATCATACAAAAATAAAAGTTTATAGACCATTTCTGCCACCTTCAACAGCTACAAGCAACTACCACAGCTGGTCTGGCAAGGAGGAAGGCATAATACAGAGGCACCATGATGGAACATGCAGAGTCTCAGTATTTAGACTAAGCAGCTACGGTCTGCAGTACTTTCCGTACCAGGCATCCTACTCCCAGAATCCCCATTCCAGGATACGGTTTCCTCGCCCTCACATCACCTTCACTGTCCACACCTTCTGTCCATACTGGCACGTTTACCCTCAGGGACCCAATGGCCTCTCTGGAGCTTGTCATTTTTCTATGGTAAGGCCTTTTCACGTCCTAAGGATTTAACTCCTCCTGCATTCCTAAATTAAATGTGCTTTAAATTATGAAAAGGTCGGTTTTCATTCCAATCCCAAAGAAAGGCAATGCCAAAGAATGTTCAAACTATTGCACAATTGCATTCATCTCACACACTAGCAAAGTAATGCTCAAAATTCTCCAAGCAAGGCTTCAACAGTGAACCAAGAACTTCCAGATGTTCAGAAAAGGCAGAAGAACCAGAGAACAAATTGCCAACATCCGTTGGATCATTGAAAAAGCAAGAGGGTTCCAGGACATGGAACAACAGACTGATTCCAAATTGGGAAAGGAGTATATCAAGGATGTATATTGTCACCCTGCTTATTTAACTTACATGCAGAGTACATCATGCAAAATGCCAGANGGTTGGATGGCATCACCGACTCAATGGACATGAGTTTGAGGAAGCTCGGGGAGTTGGTGATGGACAGGGAAGCCTGGTGTGCTGCAGTCCATGGGGTGTCAAAAGAGTTGGACACAACTGAGTGACTGAAGTTACAAATAATATTTGAAATTATAATGTTCCTCCAGTTGCTAAATGTATATAGCTGATCAGCAATGGACAAAAGGAATATGTGATTTTCTCAGTTTTTCATACTACAGTTGTAAAGGTAAATTACAGGAAAGAGGAAGAAATGACTGAAAAGCTCAACTGAAAAGCAAGTGAGACAAACATATATGGTTTAACCAAGTGATAACTAAACTAGCACTCACTGGGATCAAGCATTTAACACTGTGCAAGATATTAAAGAAAAAACTTCATCTATTGACACTACAATCTGCACTTCCAGTTTGTCTCAAAAGAGAAAAATTCTAGGTATTTTAAACATCAAAACAAAATAATGTACATTTCTGAAGAAAGAAGAGCTGCTTATTAGCTGAGTTTGCATTTTGAAACCAGTAATATTCACTGATTATACAGTTATCCATGTGTGTACCTCTCTGAAAAACTACATTTTCATCTACAGTGAGTGATTTTATACATATTCGGTTAGATTGTTCTTCCAAGGAGTCCTATGGCAAATATATAATCATTTAATCTATACATCTTCATATCTGAATTCACATACTAAACTTGCTTAAATTAGAATAAATAGGAGTTGTAGCTTGGAAGTATTCAGCTCCATCAATAAAGAACATCGAGGGGCTGGTTTTCAGCCCAACCTGATGAGCCTCACTTAACAAAAACAGTGCATGCTCAGCTGCTCCCTCATATCCGACTCTTTGTGACCCCATGGACTACAGCTCGCCAGACTCTTCTGTCCATGGAACATTCCAGATAAGAATGCTGGAATGGGTTGCCATTTCCTACTCGAAGGAATCTTCCTGACCCAGGGAAACCCGTGTCTCCTGCATTGGCAGGAGGATTCTTTACCACTGCGCCACCTGGGAAACACAACAAAAATAGTAATATTCCTGAGAAACTGGGTATACAACAATCTTCCCTGTCACGATTACAAAAGCATACTTATGTTTCCTAAGGGAAAAAATATTTTTCTGTGTCAAGGCAAAAAAAAAAAATCTTGTTTAAGAATACACTAAATCTTTAGAACACCAATTATTTTCAGGAAATCAAAAACAATTGCTGGGGCTTCCCTGGTGGTCCAGTGGCTGACTCCCTGTTCTCAATGCAGGGGACCTGGGTTCGATCCCTGGCCAGGGAACTAGACCCCATATGCTGCAACAGGGAGCCTACATGCCACAACTAAGACCCTGTACCGCCAAATAAATAAACAAATATTTAAAAAAACAATTGCTTGCCATTAACTCTATCATGGCTTCATTCCTCTGGAAAAGTAAATTTACTTTTTGGCTATTACCTCACCACTGTTTCTTTATAAAATGAATATAATATAGTTGTACAGTTAACTACCCTGATTAGAATTATCAGTGATTAATTTTTGATTGAGGAAGAGCTGATTTACAATGTTGTATTGATTTCAGATGTAGAAGGAAGGGATTCAGTTATATATATACTTTTTTCAGATTATTTTTCATTGTGGGTTATTACAGGATGTTGAGTGTAGTTCCCTGCACTATACGGTAAATATCTGCTGTTTATCTGTTTTACAGGCAGTGGTTTGTATCTGTTAATCTCATGCTCCTGATTTACCCCTCCCCTGTTTCTTTTCCCCTTTGGTAACCATGTTAGTTTTCTATGTAAGATTGCTTCTATTTTGTAAATAGATTCATTTGTATTGTTTTTTAGATTCTACATATAAGTGATATCATATAATTAAAAACATTATTAGTGATCATCTTACATGCTATTTATAGCTGGTAAAGCTGATATATAAAATTTCTTCAGAAAACAACAAAAAATTCTGTAAAGCAAGTATCCTTCAATTAAAAAATAAATTTTTTTAAAGTGTAAAAAAAATTTCTTTAGAATTTCTCTTGATTCAGTTAAGATTTCAACTCTTGGTGGGAGATCCTTTTTGATCTGGGCATTGAAAGCCTAGGTCTCAGGCTTTATTCCTAACAAATCAAGCTTCAATAAAGGATTTGAAAATTTATGCAAATATTAGAAAAGGTTTAATGAGCTGACTCAATTCCCTTATCCCCAACTCCAAGAACATTGTAACATTCTGAACTTTCATCAGCTACAATACCTTTGTAGATTTTCAGTCATCAACACATAGAAAGAAGGGAGGGTTGTTCTGAAGAGGCTCGGGTAACTTCTAGAACTTTCTGAAGTATCACAGAAGCCCTTGATCAATCTGACTAAGACACACTCAGGTCAAGGTCATTTTTCTGATTCCATAAAAAGGATCATTTCAATATCTCAGGGCCATAAGTGTACACCCCTGTCCTCCCCTCCCGCCCCACCCCCCCATAGCATGCAACACAGGATGTGTGGGAGAAAAGCAAAATCCAAAAGCAAGAACTACATTCACTGAGTTTATAAAAGCCTGGTGTGCCAGTGCTAACAAAAACACTGCAAACTGTGAATACATTAATGCTAGTAAAATACACTTCTACAATTCTCTAATCTAACTCATACAGAAAATTATAAACATAGGCAAATGTTATAACAGTAGAAAATGTGGGAAAATGTAAGAAAAGGACACATGAGATGAAGATAATCAGATTAAAGTTGTAAAATATGAGAACATACCCTGTACTAGGCACATGTAAGATCACAAGAAATAAAGTGAGGAGGAAGTCAGTCTCCAGAGTGTTAACTTCATGAAATCACAGAGTAATGCAAAAGCTCAAACCCACGACTCTTTAAAACCTGTGCCTTTTGACCATCTACAGGAATTTTTAAAAATGGGCAAAAGACACTAAGATGGAATTTTCATTTCTAGCCTTCACAAGAACACCGGTTCAGAATAATAATTTAAAATACTAACCAGAACCTTCATATATATATACATGGAATTAACTTTATTTTTATGGAGAAACAATAAAAATCATTT